CGGAGGCGCTGCCGATGCTCTTCTCTCTACTCTGTCGGGCCCCACACAGTCCCTGTATAATCGATTCCCTTCGATCCGGCCGGCTCATCACCTTCGTATGCGCAATTGGAGGCAAAGAGGTGGGTCAATCTCACGGCAGCGAACTCTTGTTTCTGTTTTGACAATTAGTTCACGTCAAGATCGCTTGGCTGGAACGTTAAAACTACTTATAGTACAGAGCTGCACGGAACGTAGTCTTAAATTGGTAAAACTACCTACTTATTTTACAATAGTAGGCGTGGTTCATTTTACTATTTTCCACGTCCATGTACAGTCTTCTGACTGAACATCTGTACTGTGACGGCTTTAAGTTATGCGGCAACATAATCCACACTTTTCTTCATTTTGCTACTATTGCAAGGTGTCCCTTTCGTAGGGGCACTAGAAAATGAAGATTTTTTAGCAAGGAGGTGTAACTAATAGGGTGTCTAAGCAACGCAATATCTTCCGCTTAGTCTATTGCGTCTAGCGCAGAATGATAGTGTACTAGTGAAAGGACACAACTTTGGTATGCACCATTGTTTATTTTCAAGATAATTTTACCCCCTTTAAATGGTCCGCTGACTGTTGTTTTTCATATAGTGCACATTAACTAATCACTCAGATCCGTAGTAGTGTTTCCACTGAATTGCTTCCGACTTTCGTCAGTTCCCGGGCGTTAGCACAAATTCCCCTGTTTTTAACCACTGTCATGATTTTAAAGAAAGCTGCCCCAATGCGATCTTGTCACAAACTCGTTGGTGCCGTACCAAACATGACAGGTAAGGAGAAGGAGACGAGACAGCCATGTGCTTACCGTATACGAGGAGACCACCTCTTGTGGTTTAATGCGAAAGAGCCATATTCCAAAATTCGATGGCAATGCGTAGTAAGGTGAAAAGGAAATTTTTCTGATAGTGTTTAGGCAACGCAATATCTCCATTCATAAGGAAGAAAATTTGTCGAGCACCGGCTCAATCGGTTTATTGTCCTTAGTGTTGTAAGTTTAGCCAAAGGCTGCGATATCGCCGTCTACGT